CAAATATAGTGATCCACCCAAAACAAAACCCCGTGAAAATATATTTTTCTACCAAAAATAACAGCAATACATTTTATATATAAAAAAAACATACCAACAATCTCTACATGTAATAAAATTACCAACAATACATCAATCGGTATAAAAACTCTTTCATGACATTAATCCATATAATATCCTACAATTTTAAAGAAATCAAACTGTATTCCAAAATATTAGGTTGTCCCAAAAGTTCGTAAACACATGATGGTCTTTATTTTGAGGAATAATTTTTGTTGTTTTTGTTATTACTTGGCGAGTAAAATTTCAATTTTTTGCAAGTGTTTACGAACTTTTGGGACAACCTAATATAACTTCAACAAAAGTACAACATAATATACACCTATCACCACATCTAGTAATTATGTCCACATAAACATGTATATCCACAAAAGCTGAGTATCATCTACCATGTATTCAATTGTGAAAGCAGAATAACATATATCATATTTTTATTACTTCAAAGCTCCCAAGAAAATTAAATTTGTCATTTTTTTATACATAGGAGTTACCGGGTTTTTAGGTGACGTTCTCTTAGGAGCATAGATCATGAATTGCCAAAGCTTCCTGCTTATTGTTGCTCCAAGTAACTTTTGACCATTTGCCACACCTCTTTAGCCTTGTTCTGTTATCCATCCCTGTGAACTTATTATTTATTCGACCCCCACCTCATTCCTGCTTCGTTTGCCTTCAGTATGACTTGCAAGTGTTAATTCTATAGGCGCTCTTTCCTCAATACTTGCCGCAAGAATTTCAACCATCTCTTTCTAGCGGAGTTGAACCATCCTCATTCTGTCCGTGTTTCAACTGAAAAGAGGAAGTTACACTTAAACGGGCCCCACTCCTCACCGAGAACAGTTAATTTATGGAGCAGACTCCCGCGTCAATGACTCTCCAAACGTTACAAACTTAACCTCTTTAACTAAAACGTCAATCATTATCTATTCCCCACAGCCTCATAACCTTCTCTTCTTACTAATTTTACATTCATATCGTGCATCTCACTGAGGAATCCTCTACCTCGAGTGGCTCTCGAGCATTGTATTGGAAGGACATCCGAAGAATCTATCATAGTAGTCAATCATAGTTGTTGTTTACGTAACCGCTTACACCATGTTTTCTAGGGGTTTCCCCACTTGGGGAGGGTGAGAGAATCCTGAATAGGCCAGCCTAGTCACGAGACCAGCTGCTGCATCCTTGCCTCGTCGCAGGTCACGAAGTATACGACCATCACGAACCCACCGTCAACGTGTTCTCGCGGGCTAAGGGCCTTCAGCTAACCGAGCCTGACCCCGTCGGTCGCTGGACTTGCTGAAGGGTGGTAGGAAGCAAAGTCGAAGACTATTTAACTCGGCCATTGACTTGAATTTGATTTGGGTTGATAATTCTGTGAGATCTTCCATATTTAATTCATCGTATTCTTCCGTTAAATCACATCATAAAAAGTTTGGCCAATATTCACTGCTATTTAGACCAGGGGTCAGAAACCTCCGGTCCGCGGGTCACATCCGGCCCGCGAAGGATTTTTGTCCAACTTAACAACTTGTCACTAATTATCTAATTAATTTGCAGAAACTTTTAATCTACTTACAACGCGAGCAAATTTTAAATCAAAAAATGCTTTGCCAAGTGGAAAATATTAAAGCCTATTGAATAATGCGAAAATAACGCTATCATTATTTGGAAGTACATATATGCTCGTGAATGGGGCACCTCGGCGTGGTGTAATGTTCAGCAAGCTTGTCTCGCTAGATTAGTTACGACTGAAAAGTGAGCTCGATCCTTACGAGGTGTTCCATAATATCGGCCTTGTGCCACATCTAAGCTACGCTTAGAAAATAAAAGGGGACACCCCGAGGCGGTGTAATGGTTATCAAGCTAATCTGGCTAGAACATTTACCACTGAGTAGTGAGTTCGATCCTCACTAGGTGTCCCCTACTTTCGGCCTTATGCCACATTTAAGCTACGCTTGGAAAATCACTATATGCTTGTGAACGACTTTCTGCGATAACGAAATATATCAAAAGTCATTTAAGAATAAGTTTGGATAATGACCACATGGACGATGTTTTGCTCCTGTCATCGACAAGTATTTCACCCGATGTGGAGAAGTTATAAAAGAAGAAGCAGAATCAAGTGTCTCATTAAATAATTTGCCGTTTCTAACAGTTTTTTTGTTTGTTTGTAGTAAGAAATTTTCATTTTTTTTTGTTGATTGTGTTAATTGTTATCCTGTTATTCCTGCAGTAAAATAAGGAACCTTGTTTAAATAATATAACATTAACTTCATTGTTTCTTCTTTAAACTTCAAGACCAGGGCAGCCATCTTGACATAGCTGTCTGAGGTCGAGACAATTTATTATAATAAATTTGATATTATGGCCCTCTTCCGAGACACTGCATAGTTTTCTGGTCCGCTCTCTTCAAAAGGTTGCCGACCCGTGATTCAGATATTACATAGCAATTCAGTAGAAGGGGTTATAAAACGAAATTATACCTGCCGTTTCGTAAGGTATATATTTCATCTACGTCTTTTTTTTTCTTCTCCGGTGTACTCTTCTGAAGAGAAGATGTATAATAGCACCGAAAGTGACAGCGGTGTTCGCCTCTTCTTCGATTCGACTAATTCAGTAAACGAGGTTACGCAACATCGACTTCTCGATCGATAAAAAGCTGAATAGACTTTAAAGACATTTTAAGGTCTTCTTGACATTATGCAAAACCAGACGCTGGCGGCTTTGCTCTAACCTAATATATCACTATTACGAGAAATAATTAGTCTATATTCGGGTACTGAGGCTTACCCGTTGATTCACTTCAAAGAACCACACCTTCACAGACTGTAGAGTTTCAAATTAGAATCCAATAAAATGCCAATCTGGGGAGTGTTGTTCGATGACTTAGCGAAGGCAAAGGTGATAGGTAGAAGAGATCATATCGTCTGTCCTTTGAAACTTGGACAGCCGCTGCTAAGCAGTCGATTGGTCGGTTGTTTGACTGAAGATTCCTTATTGAGGATGACATTCTATCCTATCGCTTGATTGGTTCAGTTATGTTATCATTGGCGGAATGGCAAGAGGAGACATCAGTCGACGCCTCGAACTGCATTAAAAGGAAATTATCCGAACGGTATCAGTGGCGGGGAGTTGGTACTAATTTGTATTCATGAGTTTATACGAAATCGTGACTTGGTCCGTCTAACATGCACGTTATTCCTGTCGACCCTCGGGATTTCAAGATGCTATCTACGAAACGTTAATCAACAATACCTTTTTTTTTTTTTTTTTTTTTTATATATTTTGTTTGTAAATATACGAAGAGACTAATTTGAATAAGTTGAACGATAATGTTTTTGAATTCTGTCTTGTTTGGGTATATGCTTGTGAGTTACGGCTTACGCCAATAAATACCTGTAATAGTAATAATAACCGTTTTCTTATACGGAAACATTCAGCCTTCATGTCCAAAAAGATAGTGTCACTTTCGGTTGAAATTTATAACATCTTTCTGTTAAAACCATTTTTCAGGAATATAGATTTCTCAAGCGCAGTAGCTTTTATCCGTCTTTCTGGTAATGATAGGGCGTTTCTTTCCTAACCATATTCCCGAAGTAGCGTGGAATGTCAACATCTTGAGTGTCATTTTCTCTTCAAATTACAAGTGCTATCCATTTCAGTTGTTGCTACGGTTGAAAGTCCTCACGTGATTTTATTCCTGTTTGTGTTATTCGATAAAAGTTCTAGGTGATTCAATTCGCGAAGTTTCAAGAAGAATAGTCCTCTCTAAGACCTACAGCGTTCGTTCGCACGAAGCTATTTTTAATTATGGAACTGAGAAAGCGACAGATGACAATTTAGAAAATTCTGAATAGGTTGGATGTCACGCATGACATCCATATGTAAGTCCCATATATATATATATATATATATATATATATATATATATATATAAAAATAATTACACATTATCACTCTGATAATGGGTCATGTGAGCCAAAGCTTGGTTCGAAGAATATCTTAATAAAAAATATTCATATGTTGGACAGTTTTGTCTTTATTTACTCCTGAAACTAAAGCCACTATGCGAAGCTTAGAACGGCTCAAGATCAAACTTAATAGACATTCGTTGTCTGTTATATTTAACAATATATATATATATATATATATATATATATATATATATATATATATATATATATATAAAAGAAATATATATCTTTATATATCAAGAAAATATCAAGAAATATATATATATATATATATATATATATATATATATATATATATATACGTATTTCGTTTACTATGTAGTAAAACTCGGTAAATGACCTTTTATCAAAAGGTCAGCAGTCAAATTTACCTGCGACTATTTTCTGGTACTTTTTCTCCGTTATCTTTTACAGAATATGCTAGTCATTGTATGCACACGCACACGCACACGCATATACACATACGCATACGCACACACACACACGCACACACACACACACACACATATATATATATATATATATATATATATATATATATATATATATATATATTTATATATAAACTATCAGAGTAATGTACGGTTAGCGCAACAGAACTTGCAACGTGTGCGGAAGTACACATAACCGCCAGGAGAATTGTCTTCCGGTGTACTCCGGAAGTTCTGCCATTTTCATCGGATGCAGCTTCTGGGAACGTAAACTAGCGACTCAGCCATTAACTCCTTCTAGTTTCCCGTGACCTTTATCACTCCAGCTTAACGTTGTCCTATTTTTCCTCTTCGCTTATTCATGTAAATCAAGGTTGAATACCAGAATTCTGTATCGCATCTACAAAAATAATTCTTACTGGCCGACACCCGAAAAGCAATGAATATTTTTCTTCTTCTTCTTCTTCTTCTTCTTATTATTATTATTATTATTATTATTAATTGGTATTTATAAACAGATTCAGGGTTAATAAAACAGAGTTTACGGCCATATAGCGTTGAAACACCAGCTCCTGTACAATCACCGAAATTAAGCTACGTCGAGCCTACTCAGTGTCTAGATGGGTGACCCCTTGGGAATACCAGGTTGTTAGCGAGGGATGTAATGGATAATTGCTCGGAATTCAAGCCAAGTTCCAATTCCAGTTGGGTTCGTTATATTCTCTTATGGGCAAATACCCTTGAGAAAGCTATGAATCCACCTCTTCTTCCTCCACCTATGGGTTAATTAGTAAGACTTGTATCACTAAATCATTATTACCTCAAAAAAAAAAAAAAATCTTCCAATCTAAAAATATTTTGTGGCTTTAAAAATCTGCAATGGGTTGATAAGCCGTAGAAAAATCAATCAATCAATAATAAAACTGCCAAACGTAATTTGTCGGGATATCGAGTATTGTTACAGAATTAGTCATTTACTTCGGATGTGCGGGTAGTGTAACTATTATTAGCGTGGAATGTGTAATTGGCGAACCACTTACAAGTACCCCATTAACGTCCACACGCTAACGCGCTGACAAACTACAAGGTAACTCCTATCTTTTCCTCTCTCTTCGCACGAGTTGGCAAGGGAGGGTGCTGTGAACTACAAAGAGAACCACTCCCTAGGGTGACACAGTTCACAGTAAGAACTAAATCGAATCACGACACTCATAATTTTGGCTTTTAACAAAAATCCAAGTAGAAGGATGGACGGCATTACGTTATTATGCTTTGGGAACTTTTTCAGTAAAAAAAAAATGAGTGTAAATATGTAATATTTATGAGAATAAAATAAAGATATCTTTCCTGGGATGTTTATAAATTGTACACTGTTCAATTATTAGCGTTAACAACGAACTATTTTAAATTACAAAATTGTACTTGGATTAAACGAAAATTACTTACACTATAATACATATTGCTTATAATACATTCCTTCTTGCCGTCAGTTTTTACGGCATGGCTACAGTAATAATAATGATTTTCCAAGCGTAGCATAGATGTGGTACAAGGCTGAAAGTATGGATCACCCAGTGAGGATCGAACTCACTACTCAGTCATAATTGTTCTAGCGAGACAAGTTCGCTAACCATTACACCGCCTTGAGGTGCCCAATATGGATTTTCCAAGCGTAGCTTAGAAAGTAGAGGGCACCCAGTGAGGATCGAACTCACTACTCAGTCATAATTGTTCTGCTAACCATTACACCGCCTTGAGGTGCCCAATGGACTTTTCCAAGTGTAGCTTAGATGTGGCACAAGGCCGAATGCATGAGGCACTCAGTGAGGATCAAACTCACTATTCATTCGTAATTTTTCTTGTGAGACAAATTGGTGGCACCCAGTGAGAATCGAACTTACTACTTTAATTTTTCTAGTGCTCAATGTTATTAACCATTACACTTCCTTGAGGTGCCCAATAGGGATTTTCCAAGCTTAGCTTAGATGTTGCACAAGGCCGAAAGTATGGGGTACCCAGTTGAGGATTGAACTTACTACTTAGTCGTAATTGTAATAACCATTACACCGCCACGAGTTGCCCGGGTACACTAGTAATAAATATAATAGCTTTAGTTTTAGGGTGCTAATCTCCACCTCACGGGCATTGCCGCAAGTTAAAGGCAGTCAATCCTTAATACCTGGGGCTTCGCTAAATGTAATACTTCTACACTTGTGTAGGCGTGGAATTTGCACATTAAACGAAAAGCGTATCATATCTACCACCATGTGGCGGCAGGGAAATCAACTTACGTGGCTCATAGTAGATTTTATTGGTACTCTAGCCAATAACGCTTCAAACTGCAATGCCTTATCATATACATTACAATGTTTACTGATCATCAACAGGCCAGTCCAATAAGTTGTTATTAATTGCGTCCGCCCATCAACTGAGGCTCGCGAATATCAACTGCATGCATTACTGCCATAACTTTTTCTTAATGTTCTTTTTTTCACATACCCCAAAAAGACTAACCCATATCCTCCTGACGTTAGTTTAAAATAAGGCTTTCTTTTTTCCTAGATTGTAATCGTTTACGTAGTTCGTATTCTCATGATTTTCAAAAAAAACAAACAAACAAACAAACAAACAAAAAAAACACACAAAAAAAAAAAAACTAAACAAACAAACAAACAGGGAAATGCCACTGAAATTTTCAAAATTATAGTTTATATTTATAATTTCGATGCATGGGAAAAGACGTCCGTTTAAACTGATGCCAGAAGGTTATGGTTGACATAATTCTTGATTGATCTTCACACAACAAACGTCCGTCAAAGAATTATGTTGCATTTTCGTTTTATATCTCGTCATTGTTACAATTTATTGTAATTCTTGAATAATTTACCATTCATCTGATCCTTAGGTTGGTTAATTTAATTAAATATCAACCCTTGTTGGATCAATAATGTTGACTTTTGTACGTCAAGAATCTCAGTGAATTAATAGACAGGCCCAATTTACACAAAAGTTAAAATGGTAGACATAGATCCGGATTGCACGAGAGGCAAAAAAGAAAACATAGTTTCGGTTTTAAACTAGAGTCAAAGAGGTAGATTTAGATTCAGTTAAGGCTAGAATAAAAAAAAGGTTGGTATATGTTTACTTTTATTCTTGACTCAAAGCGTTAGAGATGTTCGATTTGCACTAGAGACAAAAAGGTAGGCATAAGTCCAGTTTAAACTAGAGTCAAAAGGGAGGCATAACGATTGTTACCCCAAACCGATACCATTTCTTTCCTGTTTGTAGATTTATTATAACCAATTACCTTATATTTTATAACCTAGAGTTATTTTTCTGACTTTCGTTACAACCGGAAGAAAAAAATTGGGTGGTATTTGGATCAGTGACCAAATGACTCCCGCCGACCACGTTGTGGTGGTTGATACTTCAATGTCCGACATCGACTGACTCACTCAACTGACGACTGCTACTACTACTACTTATCTGTGGGAGAGTTTATTTACCATAGAATAGGTACGTTCCGGTATAACAAATACGATGTACACTTAGATGTCTATACTCCTTCTTAGTTATAAAATGGTCAGATTTTGGTAAAATCCAATGAATGGTTTCCATTTTTTATAGAGCCATCATTCTTTCATTGAGATATCGTATTATTCCTTCTGTATTCCATTGGTGAGAAGTAAGTCCCATTTGAGCAACTTTTTTCCGTGAACCACAGCCCTGTGGGACTGAAGCCCAAGAGAATGTTTCCACGATCGTTGCAATTTTAACCTATTCAAGTAGAATTAACCGTTATCGCCCCCATCTATCCGCATAAGCTGTGCCTCTTAATCTGTAACCCTCTACCTCGAATGGCTCTTGGGCCTTGTACTCTCTATAAAAAAAGATCACTCTTCATTAATAAAGATTGATTTGAGTTGAAAGATTGATTGTTAAATTTTAATTTTTCTAATCTGAAAACCATGAATATACTCGATTAAAAATGGGGTAAAATGAACATTTTTGCCAAAATGTGACATTTTGGTACAGAATAAACGGCAACTAATATGAAAAAAAGTGGACGTCATTTTCTTTAATTTGACACCTTCAAATCAGCTAGGAAAGCATGTTTCCACACTTGCACTCAAATATGGCGATTTTCTAAGCTTAGCAGTAGCACAAGGCCGAAAGAATGGGATACTCAGTGAGGATCGAACTCAAGATTCAGTCGTAATTAATGTAGCGAGCCAAGGGAGTTAACCATTACACCACGTTGAGGTGCCCTCCCTGCACCTAAATATGTGTTGAAAAATGTTATTTCTCGATTATGAACAATGAAATATTATTTAATGATGCCTGACAGAGACTCGGGTAACTTGATAGCTCAACAGACGTACAAATCAGTTCAGGTTTACGGAGCTTTTTAAAGTCGGACATGTAGTTGTACGGATGGAAAACGAAGTGTCGCATTAAGTGGATGTACTGAAATAAAAAGAACATTGTCAGTAGATTTCCTTGTGGCATTTAAAAAAAATAACAAAAAAACAAACCAAAAACAACTACAACAACAACAACAAGGTTTTAATTAGCTTTCTTGGAATTTTCTACTTTTTCCAAAGATGTAATTAAATCTCGCCGCGAGAAGGAATCCTATTAAGACGAAAACGACTGATTATCTACTGACAATGGTTTAAATTGATAATGTTCAGCGGTAACGCTGAAAATAACCGAAATCAACATTATCATCATCATGGTCATCATCACCATCATCATCGTCGTCATCATCGTCATCATCATGATCATGATCGTCATCATTATCATCATCATCATCGTCGTCATCATGGTCATCATCATCATCATCATGATCGTCGTCATCATCGTCATCATCATCATCATCATCATGATCGTCATCATTATCATCATCATCATCCTCATGGTCATCATCATCATCATCATGATCGTCATCATTATCATCATCATGGCCATCATCATCATCATGATGGTCATAATGGTCATCGTCATCATCATCATGGTCATCATCATCATCATGGTCATCATCATCATCAGCATCATCATCGTCGTCATCATCGTCATCATCATTATCATCACTAACGATTACTCCGCATTTCACGTTCGTATGCCCACGTACGTGTCAAGGTGAATGTATTTGTGTCATTCAATGAGTGGTCTTTGTCCTTAGGAATGGCGTTTGGTAAGAATAGAAGAGTTTGCCGCCATAATTAACAGTGAAAGGTTTCGTGGAGAACAAAGCATCTCAAAAGAGAATGACAGGACATTTTCTCTTGAGACAATTAAAAGAGTTGCTCTTTCTTTCGCTTCTCTGCTTGTGATCTACGCAAGTACGCCGTCAGCAGATCGCACGTAATGTGCTGAAATATTCGATTGCATATGATTCGTTCTGTTGATTCTTTTTTGCTCCCCCACCCATGCCATTCACCCCAATGCATATGTGTGTGCACGTGTATAAATTGTTTGATAACTGTAATGTGGAGATGTCTTTATGTGAATGTGGAAGAAAGGGATATACGTCGGTACGTTAGCCGTAGAGAAATTGAAGTGTATGTTTTATGTGAATGTGTAATGATGAAGAAAGGAATATACGTCGGAGGCCAACTACTATTTTGCTTGTGGTGATTCATAATTAG